GGGAGGGGGGAGGGGGGAGGGGGGTAAAAAGCAAAAGGTTTAATTCGTTGAGGGAGAGAATCCTGGTCATTCAACAAAGTTTGGAGACGTGCTGTTTAGGGTTGGAAAAGAAGCCGAAAATTGACTCTCTCATGCATATAAATTTTATCCGTTCTGCTTTCTTTATATCTTTATATTATCAGATTGAAAAGACAGGTAACAATAACCTAACGATGAAATGATAATAATATGCAAATTACTGTTTTTGAGTTTTGACTAGTGTTATGGCGGTTGAAAATGTATGACCACACTACACGCACTGGCTTTGGTACGCTGCTGATCGCACATATGTGAGGCAGCGTGGTGGAATCAGGCTCTCGTCAATTTTTGGACATGAAAAGTTATTGGTAGCATCTCAAAGCTTGTTCACTTGTCCTTATTTGGAAGACAAAAATATCCATTTATCTTGAATACAAGTCGAGATATTTGTGAAAGAAGGAGGTGGGGGTCACCTGTTTTCAGAGTTAAATTAGTAAGAAAATGGTGGCCAAAGAGTAGTTATTTCCTTTGCTTAAGAGTCCGTGGTAACTGAAAATTTACATTTTTTGTGCTTTAATCAACGTTTTTCAGAATAATTCACACAGAAATGAGTTCTTTTGTGGGCATGGAAGGTCTTGAGCCAATAAACAAAAATTTGATAAAAATTACAAAACCTACGGAAAATGCAAGTTTCTTCACTTTGATTATTTTGACGAGAGCCTGATTCCACCACGCTGTACATATTATGTGTCTGTCACGTTTTTAAGGAGCAAATGCAAATGTTACTGTTATTATTGTTAATTTTACCCATGGCGCCTATTTACAATATGAAACAAGATCAAAACAGGGAGCTTATGACTCACTGACAAACCTGGAAAAAAATGTGCAGGCCACATACAAAAATACATTTATTGAAATTAACTAAGACAGCCATCCTTGCCGAGGAGAGAAAATGTTGTTTGTTTTATTTTGTTTTTGCTAAGTGTTTTACGGTGCGAGCAACTAGATCTACATAAGGTTATATGGGCGCGTGGGACACATTATCATTTTCAGTTGGAAAGAGATTTTAAAAATTTTGTCCGGGTGGAGGCAGAAGCCTATTCTTATCGATTTTGGACCACCGCTGTAACTTTAATGTTCGCTCTCAGGACCTCCGAGATTTTTCGCCCTTGTCCGAGAAGGCTATGTGTAGATCTTACCTACCAAAGTTCAGGGGTGTGGCTGAAAGACATCAGTAAGGACTAAGACTCTCGTGTCATTAGAATGCACCCCCCCCTCCCCCAACAAAAAAACAAAACAAAACAAAAAAAGAAAGGGAGGAACTGGGTGGTTGTCACAGCTTTTTTTTTTTTTTTTTTTTTTTTTAGTAAGAGTTTTACGGCATTTGCAACACAAAAAGGTAATTAAAGTGACGAAGATTAGAGGTGCTTCAAGAGAGTAACAAACACAAAAAAAAGAAGGAGGGGAGACCAAAACGATAGAGATATTTGAAAGGAAAGAAGAAGCAAACCATAGTAGAGCACCCGCCAACTACTCACGATCGTCTTATACTGGTGGTCGTAGAAGTGGCTGAGCTATAATAATAATAATGACCTTGATCTTGACAACCAATGATTTATTTATAGAGGCACCAGCCATCCATGTCTATAACAATAATATACATTTAAAAATGTTGCCTTTTCAAATTCAACTTACCCGTCAGTTTGTATACAGACGTGTGTGTGTAAAGGAATCTTTACTTTTACTTTTATCCGCCGCTTATACCCTTTTGGGTGTCGCGGGAATTTAGAGACGTCTCTCTGTCGCCAGCCGGAGAGCTTGGGTCAGGGGGATGCCGTGGTTGGTTAATGTTTCCATGACTCCATGTATCCAGGTCTTTCTCTGTCGCCCTCTAGCCTTGTCGCCATCGAATTTTTTTTTATGCAGGCACGTTGTGCTGGAGGGTGTGTTGGTAATCACATGAGATGTCCGAACCATTTGATTCTTTGATGCTGGATGTGATGCATGACCTCATTTGTGCCCACCATTCCTCTGATTACTGAATTTCTGATTTTGTCTCGCCTGGTCTTGTTTACTGCTTTTCTAAGGCATCGCTTTTCACATGTGTGTAAAGAAATACAGCTGATATTGTCCGAGATGGCCAACCCTGTCGAGGATAAAAAATAAAAGTGGTTGTCTTAAACTGGTGAACGTCTAAGACAGAGTCATTGTAGTATAGAAATTAAACAGAAAAGGGGTGGGGGGATGGTCGTTTGTATAGGTGATTATCTTAAATAGGTGGCAGTTAAAAGCATAATCAACTGTACTAGATCTAGACCTAGTTCTACTTTTACACCATTGACAAACTGAAACAGATTCTGTTACATGTAAGAAATGTTTCATTCAATTTTTGTGCCGGAAATCATCATCATGTTTCATCGAAATATCATTCATAATTAATAATTGTGAGGCAGCGTGGTGGAATCAGGCTCTCGTCAAAATAATCAAAGTAAAGAAACTTGCATTTTTCCACAGATTTGTGAATTTTTTTTCAAATTTTTGTTTTTTGGCTCAAAACCTTTCATGCCCATAAAAGAACTCTTTTGTGTATGGATTTTTCAGAAAAACGTTGACTAAAGATACAAAATAATGTTAATTTTTAGTTACCACGGACTCTTAAGCTAAGGAAATAACTAATCTTTGGCGGCGATTTTCTCACTAATCTTACCTCTGAAAACAGGTGACCCCCCACCCCCTTCATTCGCAAATATCTCGACTTTTATTCAAGACAAATGGATTTTCTTTTCACCCAAATAAAGACAAATGAACAAGCTTTCAGATGATACCAATAACTTTACATGCCCAAAAATTGACGAGAGCCTGATTCCACCACGCTGCCTCAAATATAGTATTATATTTATCCAGAAGCTAGTTGTAGAATAACATGTAGACTGTGACATTGAAAAATAGCGTAACTGAAGGTAATACAGTTTCGGAAAGTGCCCGTTGATGCATCTTGTAATCAATTTTTTATTAAAGTTTTATTTATCCATTTATTTCATTTTTGTTTAGTTGTTTGGATTTGGGGGGGGGTATGTGTGTGTGTGTGTATGT